TATAGTAGTATCTTGAAAAATATCTAGTAATATATTATGTACTGTCATCATGGCATAGACAAAATAAAATTAGCTATTAGAAATGATTTATTAAAACTATTGGTAACACACACACACAGTAATAAACCTTTAACTAACACTACTAGCCTAATTAAGTACTAAATAGCTGTTTATTAATAGTTAGTAAGGTAGAAGTTGAGTTTAGGTTTTGTGTAGGATTAGGGATGCAGAAAAAGATCATATTTTATAACTAATAATGAACAGTTAAGATCTTTTCAATAAGCAGGTAATAAACCAGTAGTTAATAGCTTGAATTGTGACTTAAACTAAAGTGTTACCAAACTATAAATGTATTTAAAAAGCTCCTCTCCGTGTTATACATCACTCGAGAAATTAAAAATAATAATAATAATAATTTCAAAGAAAGACTAATGATTATGTCTTTAACTGTATTTTCCATTTACTAAATTTCATTATGGCACCCATAAACTAAATTATTGAAATGCAGATTTAATTTTTAGATATACCAAAAGTTTCATTATCAGTAGCTAAATGGTATGTAAGAACAAATCTATTTGTGATTTGATGCCTTATGGGTCAGTCAGTATAATAGCAGAATAATACATGCATTGTGTTAGTGACTAGTATAATATGTGCATGAATTGTTGTGAATCATGTGCTTGTATGTTTATTTGTGGTGTTGTCCTGCAGGGATAATAATCATCACAGACGGAGTGACGAGCGTTCCTGATGTCGCTGTGTGTGAAACTCTACTGAATCAGCTGAGAAGTGGAACCATTGCCTGTTCATTTGTTCAGGTACTGCTCAGACCTTCATTCTACATCCATCAAACTTTACAAAAAATAATATTGCTTGTGTTACCGTTCAAAAGTCATTCAAATAAAAAAAAAGTGTTTTTGAGTGATGTTTTTACTTTCAGCAGTCCTGCATTTATTTGATAAAATAAAACAATGAATATTGTTAAAAATAACCAATGCATATTGATATTTTTATTAAATGCATTATAAAATATAATTATAATGAGTTTTTTTTAAAATTGAGTTTAATTTATTTACGTGAAAACTGATACATTTTTCTTTAGGATTCTTTGATTTGAGAGTTTATAAAAGTTTAGAAATAGAAATACTTTTAATACCTTTACTATCACTTTAGCTATATATATATATATATATATATATATATATATATATATATATATATATATATATATATATATATATATATATATATATATATATATATATATATATATATATATATATATAT